GTTTTGATGTGAGTGGAGTTAAACTGCCGACTGGGTTGTATTTTGGAGCGTCAGCAGCCACTGGTCAACTCGCAGGTATTTATAAGAAGCTAACTACTTTTTTGTTTGTACATGTCATTTTTATGATTTCAGAGTTCACATCGAAGAAAAACCCTTTTTTGTCGAAAAATTGATATTGAGATGGAGAAACAAGAATGCAAAAATAACCTAATCCTAGTTTTCTTTAACAATTACATTAATTTATGAGTTCGAGCTTTCAATCGCATGATAGTAGACGAGGGCGCAGCCCTAGTCAACTATCACACATAGAAATTGAGAGCAAATAATCTAATTGTTTTTAGTAGAAATCTACTAGTTGTTCAAAATTTATCTAAATAGTAATACTGATTACTCTAATTTGCAAACGCAAAGAAGCGGTTGTCATTTTGTTGACAAGCACGCATTGCTAAGCTACTCACTATCTACAGCAGAATAGACACGTGTGCCAATAAGAGAACGGCATTTGTGATTGAAAGCTAGTAGATGCAACTAGATAAATGTAACGTACGTGTAGTCTTGAAATTGAGTTGTTTTTGTTATATTAGGACAACATTCGAACAACATAACCAAGATCAATTAGAACTATTTATCTACTCAAAGTCAAGTGTTGCAAGTACAAAACATAGCCTAGACTTTTCAATGGCAAAGTCTGCCTTGATCTTGAAAAACGGATTCCAAAATATGACGTCCGGTGAAAAGAGAATCCATATTGGTTATTATATTAATTCCTTTATAATATTCCTTGCTTTTGTGAAAATGCTCACAAACTGGGTGGGATTCAGTTTGTTAGAGAAAAACTTCAAATTGAAAGTCAACAGAATGAATTATATTGCTCGGTCTGCCAGGTCTGATTTTAATTTGTGAGAACATCCATGTCTAAGTATTCCAACGGATTCGATGAGATTTTACAATGAGAATATTTTACCGTTTGTTAACTACCATTAGGAGTAGCGAGTCAGCTATTCGATTTGACAATTATGATAATAATTTAATTTACATTTATTACCAACAAATGTCTGCGAAACTTTACATCATTGAACAGGGTTCATTAATATTGTGTTTTTTTTTTCTTTGCAGACAATCACGATATTATATCCATGAAATTCTATGAAACTGAAATTCCAGTCACGGCAACTGATGATGAAGGCGATGTTGATCGCTCCAGAATTGTGCCTGTCGCAACTGGAGCCGAACCGTACAGAGGTATGGAAATTCTTGATACAATACTGAGACATTTGTTTGCGATAAACACATACAAAATTACATTCACATCAATGGAAACTTTAAAATGCTCAAAATAATAGCGTTCTAAGGTAGAAAAACACTGACGTTATAACAAGGAAACCCAAAACACCATCCGTCGGTGCCGTTCTAGTCGCTCTTTTCTCTAGCGAAGGTTTCTCGAGAGTCGTCTTTCGTTTCTCGCGAGTAGAGTATTATTTCTCGCACGGCAGGTCTCGTTTCTCCAAATGATTAAACGCGTCAATTGCGAGACTTTTTATCAGTGGGGCCTATTTTACCATCGGATTGGAGCACGATGCTAAAGTTCCATAACTGTTAATTATATGGTATTTGATATTGCTATTTTGAAGTTTCTTTGGTTTACTTCTACGACGTGAAATGGCTATTGCCTATAAAACAGAACTTAACCCAACTTTTGAAGACCAACAGAATTCGTACGTGAATCTCACTATGTCCGCAAGCTTGCTATAATTTTATTACCTTGCACTAGAAAGAAATGAACGCAAAAGAAATACCAACTTGTTTTACTGAAAAGAAAAAATAACGAGTGAAAGATTCAGAATTTTATCAAAATGGCAATGTTTTGACCTGTCATAAAATCAAATTTGATGATCTCGATTCCATCCTAGTGGTGCAGTCAGACTTCTTCCCAAAATACGTATTCGTTAAGTTTGTGTATTTGTTGGGAAAGAGAACTTCCGACGGTCATCCAGAACACTTAAAATTTAGACTTCCCTAAAAGAATTCTTGCTCTCTTTCAGAACGTGTTGAGGACGTACAAGGGAGTTTCTCGTCAAGGACTGTCAAGGTTTTTACATGGCTCTTCTGGTTTGCTCTTGTTGCTTGCTGTGTTATTGGAGTTTCTCTCTATGTCTACCAGAAACGCCAAGAAGACTCCAGGAAACGGTTTTACTAAGAGACAGGCATGGACGTTCAGGATACTTCAAAGTGATCCAGTTTTGTCCGAGTGAATAATGCTTTCTGTTTTCGCGCGCTCAAGGTCGGAGAGAAATGGATGTTTACTCGGACAGATTTAATTAGGAGAAAATGTTTTGAACAATTATCACTGGAAACTTCAGTCACTACATGCATTGTAGACATTGTGCGTTTGAGGTCCGGAACAAGAACAAGTTTTGGTAAATTCTTAATATAAAACTACCTGGCAGAGGTTGTTTATATTAGTTCTAGTTTCATTTTTGTACGTTGTGTTGTTCGGATTGCGCAATGCCACAAATCGAAGACGAAAAAAGCAGGCCCTGTCCACACTGCACCGGAGAAATTTGAAAGCGCAGATTTATTTCTACAGTTAAATCTACCGTCCCGACCAATCCGTCACGAAAACGGAGCTTTTCGAAAACGCTCTTCAAACCGGAAGAATTTGAAAACGAAGCTTTTCTAAAACGGTGTAGTTACAATAATCGTGTGACTTCCCTGACAAGGTTTTCCTCAAACACAAATTTATCCAAACTGACCGGTGATTGTTAGGTTTTGAAATTCCTCCTGCGTTGTGTGAACGGAAGACATTTGAAATGTTTTCAGAGTGAAACCTCCGTTTTCAAAATTCTCTGGTGAAATGAAGACGGGGCCTAACACTACTGCAATACAATGGAACCTCGATTTAACGAACTTCTACATAACGACGCCCCCCTTAATATAACTTACGAAATTCTTCGCCCGGCCAGTAATAGTAAAATATATGTTTAAGAACCCCGATGTATTGAATCCTCGTCATATGGAACATATTTTGCTAGTCTTTTAGCTCGTTATATCGAGGTTCCACTGAACATAACTTGGGACACCTGTGGGGAAGGGACAGCCAAATGACTATTTTATCATATCAATATTCCGGATTCGCAACCATTAGAATTTATGTATGTATGATTACATGCTAAGTGGAGCAAACTGAGAGTGATCATAATAAGTTACTAAGACAAGAGAATGTTTGCCACCACTTAGCTATCTTGTAAAAGAATTTATATGTACTCTTGTGGTTTGGAATGATTCTAATACTGTTCCATTAAATTATCAGCTTGTTAGAGGTAGCTTATTTTAATATCCAGTGAAAGATTTCATATGCTCACTGCCGCTTCCTAGTCAGCCAAATGTAGAAGTTTAATTGCAAGGTTGAAATCTCTTTCCTCAAGACTTG